TGCCAACAGGCACCTCTGAACTAGCCTTCAGCTACAGGGTGTTACAATCCCAGGTTATCACTCTTCGGCCTCCCCTCCCACTTCCCCTACCCTTCTTCACCCTACCCCACTCCCCTTCTTTCTACCCTCCTCCCGCCCCTCCCACCAGAATCCCCCTGCAACGTAGCAGTGCCTGCCGGTGGTGGCCCGCAGGTCTCAGGCTTGTGAACTCTCGGCATTGTTAGTCAGCAGTAGTCAGGAAGTGTTCTGTATTGCAAAGCCTAACCTGGCCTGGGGACGAATCCAGACTCTTGGGGGACCTTTGGGATGACAATAGCGGGGGGAGGAGGGCATTCTCTGGGGGCCTTTGTGGATGAAACCGACGATAGAAAAATGAGAGATGGTTACCATGCGCAAAACCTAGCCTGGCAGACTTAGCAAGGACTCTTTAGCCTACCAGTGATGGGGTTCTTGCATCCAGCACACTTCTTGGCCACAAAGTTCTTGTAGCAATCCACGCAGTAATACTGGTCCTCCACAGCGGTGAAACGCTGCCCAGCCAGCTTCTTAGAGCAGGTAACACACACAAAGCAATCGGCATGCCAGGGCTGATCCTGGTAAGTGATTCCTCCAGATGTGATGGCCTAGACCAGGGAGTGTAGCACCGGATTCAGATTCAACAACCATTTTGTTGAATGCCTACTGTGTGCCAGGCACCGTGCTGGGCGCTTTGGTATACAATATCTCATTTAATCTCCACAGCAGCCATGGGAGGCAGGGGCCATTATTATCCCCAGTTTACAGATGAAGACACCAAGGCTCGGAGAAGGCGAGCCCGTATGTGAGGTTGCACAGCCCCTAAGTGGTAGAGGCAGGCCTCTAGAGCCAGGGCTGCCCAGCTCAGCAAGCTGTATGGGCCACCCGAACCACGGGGCTGAGCGTGCGTACCGACAGCCAACTTGGCTGTGGCACTGCTTTCTAATCCATGGTCTCCTCATCTGTAAAATGGGAATAATAATTCCCACGTCACAGGACTGTCGTGAGGATGGAATGGGATAGTGTGTGTGGAAGTGCTCTGCAAACCGTCAAACACTTCTGGAAACAGCGGTCAATGCCGAACTCCCTTGAAAGCATACCTTGTTGCACTTCACGCAATGCTTGGCAAACTTGGTCTCATGGCAAGTCACGCAGTAGAAGTCCTCCCCTTTAGGGAAGAAGCTTCCAGTCCCGATGACTTGCTTGCAGTTACTGCAGGTGAAGCAGTCTTTGTGCCAGACGGTCCCCTTGTACTCCACGTTTTGATCTCCTGCAGGAGGAAGCAATTGGATGGCCCCACTGACAGACTCTGCAGGGGGCTGCATCCACTCAGCTCCACTCCCCAGACCCCTAGAGGTGAGGGGATGCAGGCCCTGCAGTTACTGGCCTCACACTTCCAACTAACCTACCTGTGCTCTAATTGTACTTGTGCCAACCCGGGATTTCTGTCATGGGCGGGGACCCCAGCATTATTATTTTAGGATCCGATGCCTGAATCCCCCATGCTCCCACCTCTATACCCTGCGTGCACTTAGACATTAAATCAGGGACTGACTGGCCCACAATGACACCCTGAGGAAGAAGCATGCTTTCATCACTTACTACGCCCAAATGAGAAAGCGCTACATACTGTTCACTTCATTCTCCTGCCACAGGCTGTTCTCGCCAGTGTTCTTTAGTCTCCGAGTGTGTGCGTGTGTGCGAGCATATATGTGTACGCATATATACGTGTATGTATATGTGTACATATATATGCTAAGATCTCAAAGCAGCTCAGAGCAACGTTAGCCCCACCGTGACAAGCAAGCCCACATCACATCTGCCCTTAGGGCCTCCTCCCTGGGAACCCGGGGTGGGAAGCGGGCAGTACCTGCCACAATGGCCTTGAAGCACCCCTTGCACCTGGGGGAGTCCTCCCGGGTGGTGCACTTGTTGCACAGGATCTTGTTGTCCTTGGCCACAAAGGTCTCATTGGCCAAGGGGTGAAGGCACTTGGCACAGCGGAAGCAGGTGTCGTGCCAGAAGCGGTTCTTATAGTGCACCTCCTGGAAACCAAGCAGACAGGGGGCCGCCGTGAGGGGTGCTGGGGACGGTGGCAGGAGCCCTCCCATAAGGCAGATTTCCCCGGGACTGACCACTGAGATGACACAGTCCCTTACACTTGGGATGGCCCCACAGTGACAGTTCTTATGAGTAATAGGAGGGATGCTGAGATGAGGATAAAAATCTCACAATTCTTAAAATGTTTAGAATGCAATCAAAAGAGCTGGCAAGGGCCTTGGCACCCGTCCAGTCGAGCCCCACATTAAACAGCTCAGGCCACTGTGGCCTGGGGAGTGGAGGAGGCTTCCTTGAGACCTCAACGTGGCTACAGTGATGCCGGGAAATCCTCACAGCCAGATGCTACCGCCATGGTTGTGGGGAAAGGACACTCCGAAGCCCAGTCCAGCCCATTGGTACGTGGGGACGCCCGTTACCTTGGAGTCCGCACCGATGGGCTTGCGGCATTCCACGCAGGTGTTGGCACAGAACTTGTCAAAGCACTTCAGGCAGCAGTGGTGGCCATCCTTTTGCACATACTTCTTCCCCTGCAAGGGGTCCCTGCAGTAGTGGCAGTCAAACTTCTCCGCCATGGTGCCCACCTTATAGCTGGAGGGACCTGCAGGTGCAAGCAGACAGGACAAATGACCACCAGAAAAGCCCCAGTACCCAGAGGCACCTGCGCAATGCTGCCTTGGAGTCCATGGGGTCTGGGGACCAGGACCCAGCTTCGCCTTCAGCACAGCTGACCACCAGGCACCAAGACAACAGATACTTCAACTATGATTCCAGGAACAAAAGTGCCCCTCGGGGCCAGAAGGCTGATGGCCAGTGTCTCCCTGGGGGGATGGTAGAAGCCCCTGTTTGGATATACCACTGTGCTGATTCACAAAGGAAACGGAGGACAAGTGGATCAGAGCCATGTTGGCGGAGTCACCAGACAGGGGACAGGATGCTGGGAGGTGCAGCTGGGTAGTGCTATTGTGCTGTTGAGCAGTGACCCAATGGAGTGGAGAGTTGTGATGGGCAGGCAGGCGAGAAGCAGTTGTTTTACACAAAGTAAGAGTGTGGGGCAGAGGCTCAAAGGGGCGCAGGAAAGCAGGGGCCCTGCCTGTAGGCAGCAGCTTCTCTGAGCCCACCATGTTGTCATCAAGAAGCCTCTCCACCCGCTTTTGGCTCTTCCTCCTTCATTTTTTAGAGAGGGTAGTATCCTCTGGAGGCCTCCTGTTCCTCCTATCTATAAAATTCTATTCATCAGAATAGAAACTGACAGCTCATTCTGTACCACAGGAGGCACCTAAGCAATCCTTGTTAATTTGTTTAAAATGTTTAAATTGGCTTGAAATCTAGGAGAAAAGTGTTAAATTCCTGAATAGATCCTAAAGAGGTTTGTCCAAGAAAGTTTACCGACTTTTGAGGTCACAGCAATATAGCAAGAGAGAACTTACGGACATGGCACTGTCAATTGGTACAGGCAAGTTTGGCAACCATGAATTATCTGTTATAGTCACGGGTGGCTTTGTGAGCAAAATCAAATCCCCCCTTGATTCAAGCAAGTGAGGATCAATATGCTCATAGAAGTGTAGCCAGTGTTATCATTTGGGATATGTGCTGTTTTAAAAATTATAATCTTAAAATAGAGCCTGGAAAAAATTATTCCAAGAATCCTTTCCACTCCCTCCGTGTGAACAACCCCTCTTCCCTCCCTGGTCTCCTCCCCAGCTGCGGCCTGAGACAACAGGCCTGCAATCCTGAGCATTGCTAAGACACTCTGCAACTCCCTTTACCAAAGCATTTCCTATAGAATTCTGCCACCAAAAAAGGTACCAAATGTGAGTTTCTATTAGCTCTCAACTTCTTTAAACATATGCTAATTTGTTCCTCTCCCCCTGAAAAAGAAATTTACACGGGTAAATAGATAGCAATTATTTCATTTGCACAGAAAACAGACAAGAATTGAGACTATTTTCTAAAACTATCCACAAACATGGTTATTGTGCTAGCAAACATCCAGTGTAATTTAGAGAGAAAGAATGAGAGAAAATAAATGAGCAGTTGCCTGGTACTCACCGCAGCTCTTCCACTGACTGAACAGCCCCAAACTCTCACTTTGGGTTCCATTCCCAGGTTTTTTTATACAAACACATGTCCAAGTTATTTGGATCCTGTTGCCATAAGCAACCAAATAGCAGAGAGTGAGCTAAGGAAACCACACCCTGTGTCTGAGAAGCCGCCTGGGCAAAGGCTATTGAACTCTCACTCAGAACCAAGCCTCCAAACAAGGGAAATCAGGCCACTGGACGAGCCACAAGACCTTCTGCCTCCTGCTAACACATAAACAGACCCCCCTCATCTCTAAGGAGCTGGCAGATGAAGCAGATGAGTGACATTCTTGCGCAAGGACAGTTGCTTAGGACAGTTGTGTCACAATTAACAGACTTAGCAAGTCCAGAGAGTGATTCTTTCTTGCACTTTTCTCTAAAAAGCAAACTGGGATGTTCCTTTACATAATGGGGTAGAAACAAAAACCAGAGACACAATGGACGCAGGGCCTATCTCTTTGAACTATGTGCTGTTTAGGCAAAGCAGGTTTTAAACTGCTTTTAGCCTCCGTGTCTATAGAGAAAGTACCTGTCACAGTGAGAACATATGGAAAATCTCTCTCCTTAATCCATTCTTGCTGGTCTTTCCCACGTCACACAGAAGCCTCATCTTAGCTTTGCCATACTGATATTGTGCCCTCAACAAAGACTTGCTTTCTTGTTAAATGCTGAGTTGAGAAACCAAATAAAATCTCCAGTAACAGCCAGTGGTAATAAATTAAATTATCAGCTGCTCCTAAATCCCATTTGGCAAGAAAACAGAATTTGTAAGATTAGACAGCACTGGCTTCCTGCGTGGCTGGTAACAGTGGCTGCTTTAGCCTTTCAGAGACTAGCTTCTGGACCATACTTGAAAATCCCTCATTCTCTCTTACCAAGGTCTCTATTTAGTATACAACATTGAACCTACTCACTTTAGTATCACTTGCTTTTGATACCTTTATAAGCAGCATTGGATTCCAAATATTTCTGTTAAAGTACTATATAAAGTTCCACCTAAGGTGAGTCAAACCCCTTAGTATTTGAGTCCTAGCTTTATGGTAAAAATATAGGTTAATTTGTGTCATACAGAAGAAAAAAAAAAAACACTAGAAAACACAGTGAATGCCATTTAGAAGTTGAGGTTTTGAAGAGAAGGAAAATTGCATTATGGTTCAGAGTACCTGAGAGATCTTACCTGCCATGTCTTTCACACATTAAAACCACACACTTTCAGAACTTTTTTCATTACCAATGTAAAGTTCTTCATCATTTAGTCTCATAGTTCTAGAACATGACTTGATCAGAGTTCTAAGCATCCAGATGATGAAGTAATCCATGGCTCACTCGCGAAGATAGAAATAACAAAGGGTGTTGAAAACGTCAGACAATGAAGTCAGTGGCCACTGTATAATTCCTATAGTACACGGTCTTAAACCAAGCAAAAGGAAAATTAAATGAAACAACCCCAAGTTAATAGTATCCATAAGAAGAGATTCATCTAATGCTATTTTTGAATCCTAGCTGTAGGCAAGACTTTTTCACTCTCTAGTATGAAAACTCTAGGGTCACCTTACACCTTCTATTCCCCACCACTGTATACTTAAACTTACAGTCTGTATCCAGATGGAGAAACATTTCAAAGGGCATATTCTTTTCGAATTGATTTCTACAATTCACTTGAGTCCTTTTAATGTGTGTGGAAACAATTAGTGAAGATAAAACAGGCACTTCTAGGAATGTTGGATTTGTTGCCTAAATAAGTAAACAGGCTAGAAATACTTAAAGTATGTTCACAATGTCTATGTCAAATTCTTGAACTTTAGTACTTGTTTTGCCATAAATCAAGTGGAACTCTGGGCAACCTGAATTAGCTTATGGCATGTAATTCTAACTTTATTATTATTTGTTAGATGAAGTTGGAGGAGATACTGATCATACCACAACTTTGTATAAAATATGGATGATGTGCACAAGACCAAAACAACTCTAAAAAGCCAGCTTACAAATGACAACGCAGAGACACACATGCAAAGATCCTGTGTGGGCTCCCTAAGAATCTGAATTACTGTCAAGCTTTCACTTCATGAGGAGAGAAAAGTTTGCGCTTTCTTTTCTTTTGTTGGAAATGATGAGAAAATAGGGAAAAATGAAGATGGCATTTTACTTCGTTTTTTT